ACTGATCATTCTCAACCCACTTTTTATCACCATTCGGCTATTGCCCAATGATTGTGCTAGATACCAGGGCGGTGCGTGCACAGGGATTAGTAGAAGATCCACGATCAGAAACCCAGGTTTCACTTGTGGGCCATCAGAACGGCAAACGTAAACGGGCTAAATGACGAAGGTTTAACGATCAAGACTGGCCACCCAAAGTTGACCTTGATCTTTCCATATTCGCTTAAATTACTTATCTTAGCATTCAACGTGTTTTAAAGAAAGTCTTGAAAAAACTGCTCGTGTTTTAGGGTTCCAGTTTGTTCAGAGTGGCATCTGCTCACAAAAAAACTAGCACATATTCCTAACTGTGGTCTGGTAGAGGTGCTCCTGGCACTGCCTCGAAGCTATTTGAAAAAACTTTGGCCTGTGCAAACTGGTTGGATATTTTAGTGACTATCTTTCATAAGCATTGTCCTCTTGTGTTCTTTACTACATGCAGTGAAGCTGCCAAACGACTAACAATGCAAATTACACTTCTCGATTGGGTATTTTGCCGAAGCATGTTTAGGTGATGCCCGCTCTTTTGGCATTTCTATGTAAATGAACTATTGGTGTGTTCGCAGTGTTCTTTTGTCAAACGTGTCATGTATACCTCAATTCGTGCTGCTTCCATCTGCCTTTCAGGCGGGAAGTCTCCTCTTCGGCGAGAGGATTCACTTGTGGACCGAGGCCAAGTATCAGCCACCAAAACCCCAGGATTTTACTATACACCAAGCCCATATTACTGTTATGCTAACCTGTTACATCGCCATGCCTGAAAAGAGAGGTCTGGCCTTTAAGGGCCCACTGTATTTCCTGAACGGGAGTACCATTAAGACGTCTGAGTTCGACGGTGAGTCTAACGAAAAGACCTGATATAAGCTTCTTGTGTCCAGTGCTTGCATTATTAGCCTTTTTCGAATAATGATATTTGTGCAATTTGACTGCAGTGTCACACTGTTTATGAACTCTGCCCCAAGAATCACTCAATAATCACTTGCTGTGGGAGATTCAAACACCGATAAAACGAAAAAAAGTTGGCGATTAATCCTATGTAAGCATGCAGGAATTGAGGTCAGGTGAACGCAAGTTTTCGATTATTATTTATCAGGCAAGTAAAATAGTATAAGGGAGGAAAAAGTAGACAAA